TCCCTTTTATTGACTGAAATGGCATGTAGTTTTGTTCAACAAAATTTCAGCCGATAATAATGTGCAAAACTGTGTTAACTAAACCTATTAAAAATGTTTCTGTTCATTGAAATAAACCTAAAATAAAATAAAATATTAAAACTTAAATATTAGAAATGTTGCCTTGGCAACTGACCGAAATAAATTGAATTTGACTAAATTTGACAACTAAAATATTCAAACAAATAAAAGTCAAAGAAACTAATCAATTAAAGTTCAAAATAAATTACACCTAATCAGAAAAAAAAACTAATAAAAATTACAAAAGCACAACACAAAATTAAAGGAAACCTGTGAATATAAAAATAAAAGCTAATTCAAAATATTCATAAATATTCTAAATCCTATATAGTATAATAATACTAAAATAAGACTGGTGCAAAAAACGTGTTAAACTGTAACAGACCAAACGTTAACCTAATGTCAATTACACATTCTGTCTAGCAAGTACCTTTTTTTCCAAATTCACCTGTTAATATCTTGTGCTATTCATGTATATTAATATACAGTATAGTGTTATTCCTTCTTGCTATATTTTAGACAGCTGTACACAGTGATTAAAAGTTTATTTTCAGATGCATCCTTTCAACTCATTTTCGTTCACTGAACAAATAATGAAATGCTTTGTCAACATACATTACTTCCAGAACTTTAATTGATGCAATTAGTATTGATAACGTAAGTGTGCGACATACCTTGACCTCCACGTGGGCCATAAGCACTGCGAAGTTGGTGAGGTGTGTGCAGGAACAGGAGGTGTGAGTGCGGTTGGTGCCTAGTAGCCTGCAGTCCTGAGTGGACCAGTATCCGGTCATGGTGCGTTTGGAGTAACTCCAAAAAGAGCAGTTCGGATTGAAGTTCTCTTCCGACTGCTGGAACGAGGAGATGCACATCATACACGCCCTTATAGTGACAGAAACACACTCAGGAAAGATCCAGAAACATAAGAGTATATAATACCTGTATGTGTTTAACAGTGAAGGCCACAGGTTCAGACAGGTAGACCTTGTTACTGTCTTTATTAATAGCTGCTGTAATAACAGGTGAGTTGACGATCAGGGAATAGTTTGGATAGGCCGCTTCACTGCCCAGACGCACGCTAGCGTTCTCCGTGGACAGGTATTGACCGAGGTTCTTATAGAGAACAAGCGCCAAGCGGATCTCACCTGAGGAATGGAAAACACAGAAGCGGTCAGTCCGGAAAGTGGTGTCAGATTGGGAATTAGACCGAGGCAGATGGACAGTGGCGGATTCCCTTGCGAAAAAGAAGTTTATTCAAGTGTGCTATTAGTATACTTCTTTTAAACTAGGAATAGGAAAGTATACTTTTAGTCTACTTTTTATGTACTTCTCAGAAATATACTTAAAATGACATTTAAGTATACTTGACTTATACTTATATTAAAAATATATTTTAGCTATACTGTACTTGTGCTCCTAGAATCCGTGTTTTCATTGTTTTACGGTAGGGGGTGCTAGTACACATCTTCTGTACAGAATTTCCAAAAAACACAAGTGAAGAAGAAACCGAAACAACAGATGCTTCCACATGTAATCTAACACGATCATCAGACATAAAACAGCATCAAAACTGTGCAACGTTATGGAATAAAATGTCGACCAATGAAGAGGTAATAATGACTGTCAAGCTTTGAGGTGTTGATCGACTCCATCTACGTTCTGATTATCATTCTGAATCCAGTTCATAGTCTTTTTTCAGCTTTTTGTTCAAAATGTTGTTTATTTCTTTATTTATGAAACCTATCCACATTCAAGTGTTTAAAAAAAGAATGCATGAAGCTAGAATAAAATGTTTTTGTTTACAAACAGATACCCTGTTCTTTTGATGTTTATATGCTCAGATATTAATGTAACAATATATATACAAATTAATACCTAAATAGTGACATAGTGGTATACTTAAAGTATGATGTAAAGTTCACTTAAAGAAAACTTACGAGTATACTTGCAGTATAAAACTACTAAACTAGTAGTTTACTGAGACTATACTTCAAAGTGTACTAAAAATGCTAAAAAAGTATTTAATTAGTAAACTATCAGTATACCTATAAGTTCACTTTTAGTATAGTTGCACTACAAGCTAAAAATATTGATGTAAACTAGTTGTGTACTCAGTTTACTACTGTTATACTTAAAGTATACTTTTATGTACTAGAAATTGGGCCAATTTAGTCCCAAGGAGTATTGAAATAGTACACTTACAAGTATACTACTAGTACACTGATATTTGTATACTTACTACGTAAAGTATACTTACAAATATACTTGAACTTTACTTAAGTATACTTAATAAAATTAACTTTTTGGTAAGGGTTACCATTGCGTCCTTGCTGTTTGAGTGTGTTGGCGGAGAGATGAATGGAGTTGCCGGTTTGTCCAGATTGAGGGAAAATCAGATCAGCCAGATTAACATCTGTACTCAAACGTGCCACCTCCAGTTCTGCAAAACAGAAACATGCTCACGATTAAATGCTGCCCCCTATCAGACTGGAGGGGAAGTGTAAATGGAAGTATTGTGTTTTCTGAAGGTGCTGGGTAGTAACTGACAACATGTAATCTGGATTATGTACCAGATTCCCAAGATTAAGTATTTGGAATTAGATTATATTACATTTTAAAATACTCTTAATCAGATCACAGTTACATTTTTATTGATTACATGCTTACATATTTTTCACACAATGGCAGTAAATTATCCATAATTTATTGATTCACCCTAATTCTTTTAAATGTTCCTTTCTAAAATAGCCTACTGCTTATATACATTCAGAAAGTCTTCCAGTTTTGTGGACATTCACACAAAAACCAGTCACTCGTCAAGTGGCTATAATTACACAGAAATCTGAGAGGCAACACAGCATTTGACCAAATCAGTTCAATTTTAAGAAGCGTTTTTAAACAACTTTTATTTGAATGATCACTCAGTGGGTTATTTAAACATGTATTACTGAAAGCTTTTGTCTTTCAAACACATTAAAATGCCCAGATTCCTGTTATATCTTATTTACATGTAATGCAGTGATTCTTAAACTTTTTTTCAGCTGAACCTTTCATCTCATATATTTTCTTGAAGTACCCTCTGAGATTTTAAGGCAATAAGTTCATAATTAAGTAACATATTTGCATGTTCAAGTTCTCTGATATTAGTTAATGGTCACCTGGCATGCAGGTAAACAAATACATTTTTTATTTTGATTTGTTATTTTTAAATGATTTATTTTCATTTGATATTTTCATGATGTAATTCATTATTAGCTCATTAAACTCGCAAACCCCCTGCAGTTACTTCATGAACCCTAGTTTTGGAAATTTTGACAATGACATTTCATTACACCAAATACACAAAATAATGTTCTTTTTAGCAACATCATATGACCCCTTTAATGCACTCCAGGTTGTTAACAACAATGAATGAAATATATATTTTCTTTCTCTTTGTATTTTTATATCAATATGGTAAAAGATTATCCTATTTAAATCAATCTTATATATTAGTTGGGTCAAAAGTAATCTAAAAGTAATCAAAAAGTAGTCCAATTATATTACCTAAAATGTGTAATGTAATGTTACTAACTACAATTTTTGTCATGCAATTTGGAATCAGTAATGGACTACAATTCGCAAGTAATCTACCCAGCTCTGGTCGTGAAACATACTGAAAATTCAAATAAAACATTTCCAGTCTATTTATAATTACGACACAAGGTACCTAGAGAAGACAGACACAGCATTTTTCACCTCTTCAAAATCTTAAAAGGTTCATGCTGTGAATTAATCTCTGTGTCACCCCTCATTGTAAAAGAAATATATTTGAGTGCTCATCTTTAAGAACACCCACATTTGCTTCAAGGTAAATTAATGTTAATAACTTAATGTTAATTCATTTACGTATGGATTCAGGTCACGGTAGAGGTGACAGCTACTAAAAAGCTCTCAGTAGGGCAGATGGTGTGATGCAGAGACATTAGAAGCAGTTCTGTTCACTTACTCTAATATTATCATTCGTAATCAATTTCAAATGAGGCTTCTCTCTTTTCAGTTGACTGTGATAAGCGTTTGTCTCGATACTGAGGTGTTTAATTTAACAATTTCTTTGAAGGAAGCTAAAAGATGCTTTGCAATCCCACACTTCATGACAGCCCGCGAAGAATAATACAAGAATATTATACTGAAAAATTAATTCCTGTAAGGGGGTGGAACTTAGGGAAGGGTCAGTTACACACAGCAGTCATAGTGCAAAAATCAATGCTGATTATACAAATCAAAATATATATTTTTTTAAATTGTATGAATAATTTTTATATATTAAGCATATATTTACTATTACTATTATTTGTTCTTTTAGTATATTATACAGAATAAAATATAGTATATTTTTTATATGTTCAGATTTTATTTTATATTTGGTTTAGTTATATTTTTAGTAGTAATTTTGTTCCGCTATTGTTATGTTTTGCAATTTTTATTATTTTGATTTTAACATTTCTATTTATTTTTTATTTCAATGTAAGTAAATTTTGTACTTCACATATTTTACTTGAGTTAAGGCAATAGGTTTAATTTTTTCATCTAATATACATATTTTATTTTATTTCTGTTTCATTTTAATTAACACAAATTATATTTGTAGTTTTAATTAACCAATTGTTACTAAAACTGATTATTACTAGCACGTTCTTTTAACAAATTAGAAAATAAATAATGAACATTTCCACGACATTCTAATTTATTGAGATGCACCTGTAAATGTAATAAATTATGAATACAATAATTAATAATATGCAAAAAATAAATTTCTGCATTACATGTAGATTAATATGTAAGCAGGGTAAATCAAATCTGTAAATGTACTCTATTCCTTAAAACTTTAAAATATTTCCTTAAAATATTTTGAAGAATAAACTCAAGTTTGTTGTCCCCATTCAAACATGCAGACAGTTAGGGATTTAAAGATGATAATTTTTTTTAAAACATACACATGGAAAAGGAAAAATGTGTGTGCATCCACAAATCAGAGTTTGTGTAGAAAACTCATTAATCTATCAAACGCCATCTATAAATCAGTATATTGATTGCACTGAATTCGCTGCATTGTGAACAATGTTTATTTATTGAGGTAAAATGAAAGACACCTTTGGCCGGCCAAATAGCTTTATAAATTCACTTTGAGACATGAAAGTATTCTTGCGTATGCATGCACGTGCTATATCACATCAGCATGTGAAGTCTACAGTTCCCTTGGGGGAGCGATGAGTTATACAACAGGCGTCTTATGAAGTTATACATCTGAATCTATGTGTGTATGTGAGCATTATTAAAATCATTTCCCTCATATCTGCAGGTGGTCTCCAGGCCAAGCTACAGGCGGTTTATGTAATTTTCAGCCCAGGTTTTGTAATATAAAGTACAAAAATACAGCTCTGTATGTGTCTGTTCGTGCACGAGTGTGAGTTTTATGAAATACAGATTTTCCAAACTGCACAAAATCCTTATTAAAAGGACCCTTCTGATCTCATTTAAGAGATGATACTCTTCATCGTAATTTATTTACACACCACATCACAGTATACCTTTCTAATAATCAAAACAACGTTCGCGAAATGAGTTCTAATTATGCAAGTCAGATGGTGCAAATTTCCTAAGTAGTTCTCGGATGAGATGTAACATATTGTATACCCTCATCTACAGATGACTGAATCGCTGAGCTTGTGACAGATTTGGAGTGCTTTTACCCTCCTCAGACCTGTCGTAGAGCTGAACGCACCATGGATTACCTGTTAGACACTTTTTTGAGGGGTCTGGGAAAAGAATATCCCGAATAAAGGACATATAAGAAAGCATATTTTCAGGCAGAAAAGAGCGATACTCGCACAGATAACACAAAGAAAGCCTGAAGTAATAAACTCACACCCCCAGGGTAATGATCAGAGGGATACGGTGTGTGTGTGTGTGTGTGTGTGTGTATCTGCTTTGAAGGCACCATATCTGCTGTGCAGTGCTTGAAGTGGTTTATATAACTGGGCCGTTCTGTTCCTTATGGATCTTTTTCTCTTTCTCTCTCTCTCACACACACACACACACACACACACACACACACACACAGGCTGCAGGGGTGCTCACACTGTGCTAACCTAATTAGCTGAATCTAGTCTTCACAGAAAACTGTGCACAAGTGTAATCTATAAACACGCTCTATTCAAACCAGACAAGCCATTCGCATCGTTCTTCTGGTATTCTGTTTTAAAAAGATTTAGAGAGCATATTTGTCACCCAAATATGACAATATCTGCATTCGTTCTCTAAAAAAAAGCTATTTTCTACATGGTCTCCGCTCTTTAGTGTACACATTCATTTTACAAGACCAGCTCGTAGCATAAAGAAAGCCTTAAAGGAGGGAGAGAACGAGAGGAGGAGTAAATTTCTCATTTGAATAAACGGATAATGGTGGGAGATTTTGTCTGCGAGATTAAGATTAGCTTTCGGCTAAGATTTGAGATTGAAGATCAAAAAATGTGGAACATAATGATAAAAAAACCCACTATTTTCTTTTTACTGAAAGGCAGAAAAGGATTTGCGATCAGTGCTGAAAAGCATCTAAGAAGTTCTGCATATTCATTTCTTGATTAAGGCTTATGTAAAAGACACATACAATACATTAGATATGTACGGTTGCATAAATCCATGTTTCATGACTGATTTTTTTATGTGTAAGACGGTGCGCTAACCGAGTTTCTAGTCTGTTGTTCTAAACACTGGAAACGAACATGCTGAAAAATATTTTGAAGAATAAACTCAAGTGGTTTTCCAAAGATAATTTTTTTATTTAAAAAAAAACATACACATGAAAAATGAAAAACGAGTTTTTGATCTGTTGTACTAAACACTGGAAACGAACATGCTGAACGACGCGGCACAATTACGTCAATATGACAAATATGTCTAGAATCTCTTATCCGTTCTATTGACTGAAAGAACTTTTAATTGGTATTCTGTCGAGAGTCTGATTAAAAATTGTACAAAATTCCTTCATGATGTACTGTGTGTTGTCAGAACTTTTTTATTACGACAATTAATGTTGGATAAACTGAAGCTATACTGTAGATAGTGAAATTAAACATCTCATTCTTTTTATAGTTAACTTACATTTTGTGAGCTAACCACACAGTGTACTAGACAGCTGAGTAGTCTGTTACAATAGTTTACAGCTTTTATTTTATTTTTTAAACATTTTATTATATTTTTATTTTTTATTTGAATTACGTTTCAGTAAGTTTTGTTATTTACTTTGATCATTTTTATTAGGTTTTTAATATTTATATTTAGCTTTAATTTATTAGTATTTTAGTTTTAGTTTAAGTCATTTTAGTACTTAAGCTTTAGTACTTACAAGGCACCATTTTTTTTTTTATTTACTAATATTTATATTGTACTTTATTTCAG